CGGAGCCTGGGGTTCCCCCCCTCCCTGCTCCGCCGTGGAGAGGAGTCCGCGTCTACACCCCTCGCGGGCCGCTTGACCCCCGAGTAAACCCTCGCCGCTGAGCGCCGCGGTCGGTCGTAATAAAGACCGGGTGACCTGAAGACTCGGCCCCACCCTTAGTTGAGTCACGGGCCTTCGAGAGCCCAGGCCTGATCTGCCACCTGTTAATCTTTTGGTCCTCGGTGCCCCCAAAGGCTGGCACCCACATCACTTGCTGTCGCTTAGCGTCAGGTTTAAGACAGAAAAGTTTGCACGGTGCGCGGGGCCTCCCAGCCCTTTTCCCGCTTTACCTGACCTCATTTCACCGTAAACTACGTTTAAAGTACATCTCAGTTGGAAGAGGGTAAGAGGTTCTTGTGCGGTTGGTCAGCCGGATAAAATGCAACCCTCTGTTTCTGCTGCTAAATAATGGGCAACCCCAAGAATTCTGATAGACTGGAATTACAACTCGTGTCCTGTTTAAGGGTATTTATACTCTTCAGTTAGTGCAGACAGCGTGTTGGCAAGTTTATCCTAAATGACAGCATGAAATATGTCAGGAACAACACATAGTAAGTACTTAGTTCATTCAGAAGCCAAGGCCAGAGGTGTGTCAAATTCCAAAGCCGGATTGGCTGAGTGCAAACCGTGGTTCCCTTGCTTTAGTAACTTTTGCTAAGTGTGGAATCAATCAGCGCTTCAGATTTCTCTTCTGTGTGGGTAAACAGACAAAGCAGTACTTGGGAGTATATGTTTAACTTATATATAAAAGTCAGTTCGTTAAAATATTCCTTTTTTTTTTTCCCCTGAGACAAGGTTTCTCTGTGGCTTTGGAGGCTGTCCTGGAACTAGCTCTTGTAGACCAGGCTGGTCTCCAGCTCACAGGGATCCACCTGCCTCTGCCTCTGAGTGCTGGGATTAAAGTCGTGAGCCACCAACGCCCAGCTCCATTTCCTTTTCTTTCCCCTTGTATTTAAAAGTCATTCCAGATAGCGCTAACTTGAGTTGTCATTTACTTAAAAGCTATTTTAAGAATACCGTTTTTCTTTAATCCTGATGCTGTTCATTCAATGATGGTTCAGTCAAATAATGTGGAAAAAAATTATAAACCCAAGTAATTCACATTATGTGCCGTTATTTCCATGATTGGGTTTCTTGAATCCATTCCACAAAATGCATTGATATTTAGAAAGAGAGAGAAAAAAAATCGAATTCATGGTTAGTTGAAAGGCCAATGTTAAAATAGTGATAGCTTTCGCTCTGAGAGTTGGAGTCAATGATTTTTCAGATATCTTTCGTCCGTATGGAGGGCATAATTTGAGAAATAAATTCTACTGTCAGTTTATAAGAATCTAGTACCTGTTTGTATGCATTGAGCGTTCAGCTTATATTTTGGGCAGGGCATGGTGGTGCACATTTGTAATCTCAACACTCTGGATGCTGAAGCAGGAGAATCAGGAGTTCAAGGCCACTTTTTGTGTCAGCAAAAAGAAATGTGGTTATCTTACATATTTAGAGAAATTACAGAAGAAAGTGAAACAAAAATACCAAAGAAATAAGCCGATGTAAGAAATTATTCAGGAAACAATCTAAACGATTTCTTAAGAACATGGCTAAGTAGGTCAGAGAAGTTCAATCCAGTTACCAACAAAGATATTTACAAAGTAGATTTATAAAAGTTTATTATATAACTTTGCATGTAGGTACAGGAAATAATTTGCACGCTACATATTTCACATGAATTTATAAAAGATATATTCTCATTTTAAATATAACAAAAGCTTCAACTTTTCAACTTGTCCTTTTTGTCTTGAAGTAGCTTTTTCGAGACAGGGTTTTTCTGTGGCTTTGGAGGTTGTCCTGGAACTAGCTCTTGTAGACCAGGCTGGTCTCAAACTCACAGAAATCTGCCTGCCTCTGCCTCCCTAGTGCTGGGATTAAAGGTGTGTGCCACCACCACCCAGCTATGCCTATCATATTTAAATCCCAATATATTTTATATTCAAGGTTAAAGAACAAATTATTTCATTTAATGATCTGGTTTTCCTACATAAGGTTGTCAGTGTGAAAAGTTATTTTCTACATACCTAGGTTCTTCTTATAGGACCTTACAACCTTAGCAAAATGTGAGGCAAGAAAAAAATGTTAATTTTAACAAAGCATAACTAAATTGTTTGAGATTGAAAGTATAACAGCTATGTTTTGTGTAATTATATAGTGTATACCTTGGGTTAATTTTTGGAATGTCATCTAATTAAATATATTGTTAACTATTGCTTAATGTACTTTAAATTTATTAAACTAATAGAAAATTTTCTGACAAATTCTGGCATTGCCATTAATACGATTTTGCTTATAAAACATATTTCATGATCTTAGAGCCTGCCCTAAATTCAGATTGTCAATAGAGAAACAGAATGTCAAGTTTCCTGCTTCAGCCAACTGAGTGCTAGGATTTCAGGATATGTCATTACACCTGCTTGAGCCTGTAATCACACGTAAAACATGTAATCACACTCGGTGCTTTTCCTGCATCAGTGTTCTTCTTTCATAATTTGGATATTACCGTTCCTAATCTGGTATCAACATTTAGAAACATTTGACTAAATTGCACATAAGTAGAGCTCATGCAGATCCCAGTAGTAAAGAGAATGGAATAATAGTAATTTTATTTTCAAGTAAATCAATCCCTTAGACTGGGGGCAATAGGAGAGATTCAGTCCCTAAAGCCTGTAAAAAAAGGGGGGGGCAATTAATATATTAATTCCATTTCTTCCCCCCTCCCCATTAACCAGGTGGAGTTTATCGAAAGGGAATGGAAAAAGAGAAAGGGGAAGGGGGAAGGGGGAGAGAGAAAGAAGTAGAGAAGAGGGGCAGAGAAGGGAGAGAGAGAGAGAGAGACAGCTAATTCCATTTCTTTGAAGATACTTTTCTTAGAACAGATTTTGTACATGATGATACATACTTGTGTAATAGC